CGTCTCCGAGTTCCCACCACGATCGATTAACACGCCTGTCGACTCAGACACCACAGCATCACAGCGTTATCAGTACCAACCTGTTTTCTGGCGCAACCTGTTCCGCGACGCCATCGAGATTGTGACTCCCTCGACGACACACAGATCGGAGGCTGACAAAAACGAATCGACTATTGACCGCTGCTTCATCAACTTGCCTAGCCACCTCATGCCTTTCATGGAAACTGTCTACATCGCCGACGACGCCCCCCTCGAGAACCCCAAGGGCCCCGTCAGCGACCACGAGATCATGCACCTGCGCATCCGTCTCCGCAAGCCCAAGAAGGTCACCGAGCGCGGCATCCCCGCGTACATCTTCGACACCGACCACTACAAGCACCACATCTCCAAAGTGCTCGCCACGGTCGACATGTCGTTCCTCACTCCCACGGCGCGCTGGAGGGCCTTGGAGGCAGCCATGAGAGTTGCCGCTGCCAGAGCCCGCGACACGCTTCTCAAGATTCCAGCCGCCGAACTACCATCACAAAATGCTACTGTCAAAAAGGAAACCAGGGCCATGACACTACGAAGCATCGCCAGAGCCGCATGGTACCAGAACGTTCCCCTCGCCCAGACTTTGATCGACAATACCGACATCGGCAAGCTGCACTTGAAGATTGACGGCCGCACCGTCAGCATCAACGACATGCACGACTTCTCCTCGACCACCGACGCCACGCACGCGAGCCTCAGCGACGAGCGCAAGGCCCTCTCTGCGGCACGCTCGCGAGCCGCCTTCGCCTCCAACAATGTCCAGCTCGGTCAGAAGTGGCGCCAGCGTGCCAAACGGGAAGGCCTCCGCGGCGAGCTCTGGAAGCCATTATCCAAGCGGCTCGTCCTGACGGGCGTCAAGATCATCGCTGGCGGCGTCACCGACATCGTCTCCGACCCCGCGACGATGCATCAGGCCATCACGCGCCACTGGGCCCCCGTCTTTGCTGCAAAGCATGTTCCCGAAGATGCCCTCTCCAACTACCTCGACTCGATCTTCCCCAGACGGGCGCTCACCCACCTCGACCTACCTGATGCCCAAGCTCTTGAGAAGGCTGCTCGCCTGGCTGGCGACTCCGCACCAGGACCCGATACACTACCTTACAAAGCATGGCTACGTACTCCCGACAGCTTCGACATCCTCGCCGACTTCTGCCGTGACATCGCCACCAGACGCGCACCGCCTCACGAACTCAACTACTCCCTCATGGCCATGCTACCGAAGGGCGACGAGCCCTGCGGCAATGCTGAGTGCACCCGTGCTCCAGAGTGCCTACGTCCGCTATCAATGAAGAGCTCGGATGTGAAGCTGATGGCATCCGCCGCCAACCGGCAGCTTCACGCCCTCGCAGCCGAGACGTCCCCCGAGCAGCAGGGATTCGTCAATGGCCGCCAGTGTTTGCGTAACGTCGTCGTGGTTGACGCAGCCGCTCGACGTCACAGTCTTTCACCTAATGCAGCTACTGACAAGCCCGTCTTCGTCAGCATGGACATCGCGGCCGCCTTCCCCAGCCTCGGCCACCACTGGATGTGGAATGTTCTCCAGCGGTGGGGCATCCATGGACACATGCTACGCCTGCTTCAGGCCTGCTACCACTGGCCTGTCTCCTACCTGGACCTGGGAGGTGCACGCCGCCCCCTTTTGATCGCAGCATCAGGAGTCGCTCAGGGATGTCCGTTAAGCGGTACGATCTGGGCACTCGTCTTCGACCCCGTCATCAGAGCCCTCACCAGCGAGCTCTCAGCCATCGAGCGCGGTCTGGCAAGCGCATGTGCTGACGACCTCGGCATCATCCTCGCGAGGCTCGCGGACATCAGCAAGCTCGCGCCGCACATCATTGCGGTGGAGACTCTCGCGGGCCTGTGCCTCCAGGCCAAGAAATGCATCGTGGTCCCGACCTGGACGCTGCCCACTCAGGACATCATTGCAGAGATACGCCAAGTACTTGCTGCCGCCCACGCCCCCTGGGCCGCCTTCAAGGTTGAGTCCAGTGCCCGATACCTCGGCTTCTTTATTGGCCCTGGCGCCACTCTTGATGACCAATGGCGCGGCCCTGCTGTCAAGTGGTGGGACCGCATCGAGAAGCTCGCCGCGTCCCACGCCCCTATTCAGAAGAGCATCAAACTGTACAACGTCGCTGCCGTCACGGTCCTTGGACACGTAGGCCAGCTATTCGAACCCTCGGCGGGCATCCTCCAGAAGGAGCTGCAGGCCATCCACAAGCTGCTGCGCGTTGCCCCGTCCAGCTTCGCGAAGTCCGACATCCTCGCGATGTCCCTCTGGACCAAGGCTGAGGTCCCTATTGGCATCGAGAACTACTTGGCGGCCACTATGTGGCGTACTGCCACCACCACGGTGGCAGAGTGGCGCGACGCAGCCAACGCGCTCTGCGACGCTGCGTGCGAGCAGCTCCCCCTCGTCACAGTGCAGCGCGGCCACTGGTGCAGCGAGTGCTGGTCCATCAAGACGTCCATCGTCCAACGCTTCGAGCACATCACCAACTCTACCTTCTTCCCCGACTGCAAGGGCTCCCACTTAAAGAGGCTGACCCGCACAGCTGGCCCTCTCCCTCGCGCCCGAGCCGCTATGATTGGCATCCGCAAGCGAGCCGCTCGTGCTGGAATGCAGACCCTTCTTCAGCAACAACATGAACCGCACCGCCGCCGAGCTACACAGATCACGCCGCAGAAGGCCTACATGACGTCCCTCAACGAGCAGCTCTACACCGACACGATGGCAGACACCATAAAGTGGCGTCTCCTGTCCTGGCTCCCGCCCCTTGACCCTGAGAAGTCGCTCACCAGGGAGCCGCTCAGTGGGCCTCGCCGAAACGCCGAAATCGTACAAGAACGTCTGGCAGACCGCGCTCGCGCGTGGGCCGCCCACTGGCTCCCCGACATCCTGCTCAATGACCGCACGATCGACAACCGCTCAGACTGGATGCAGTGGTGCACGGAGTACCTGCACGAGCTTCTCGGGTCCGAGACCTTTCGCCCGCTTTACGCCACCTCCACTCGCCGTCGACAGATCGCCGTCGACATGTGCCAGCAGGCATGGGACAACAGTGGCACTGGCAGAATCCTCCTCGAACACCGTCTCTCAAGAACACGGACCCGCTCAGATGAACCGAGCAGCCAGATTTCGCTACACCAGCATGAAGCTGCCCAACATCGTGCCCGCCGCCGCTGGGTCGCCAACTTTCTCCCGTACCAGCTGCCCGACACCGACATCAGTGATGCCGACATCCCCGAGGGCGACGAAGACCCTCCTGATGACGAGGATGAGCCGCCTGATCTTCTTCGTCTCCAGCGGGTTCCCGCCGACCTACCAGCTCGCTGGAAACGTCTGCGCACCTACCTGGCTACGCAACCACCCGCACGGATGTGGGCCACAGTGAAGGCCCTCGTGGGCGCATGGGCCACCAGCTACCGCATGCATGTCATCCAGGACAAGCGCCCCTGCCACTTCGGGTGCACGCGCCAGCTCGCCAAGGATAACATTCAGCACTACATGACATGCGAGCGCATGTGGCACCAGCTGAGCTTGCCCCGCGGCCAGCTGAGCGCCAACCTCCTCACGCGCATGGCGCTCCCCGAGCTGTCGCACCCGTTCGACGGCGAGAACGGCATCCCGAACTCCGCCACGCGCCTCGCCGTCGCGACGCGGGCGTACCACCTCACCAAGGACTACCCCCTCCCGATGCCGTACCACAACCAGAACACGGCCTTCGCCGCCGCTCGCCGCGCCCTCCAGCTTCCTGCTGACTTGAGTGGAGGTGCGGGCGCGCCGCGGCGTGGCCAAGCGCGGACGAACCTGCCTTCAAGGTTACGTTCGCTCCTCCTCCTCCTCCTCCTCCTCCTCCTCCTCCTCCTCCTCCTCCTCCTCCTCCTCCTCGCTCCTCCTCTTCCCTCCTCCTCCTCCTCCTCCTCCTCCTCCTCCTCCTCCTCCTCCTCCTCCTCCTCCTCCTCCTCATCCTCCTCCTCCCTCCTATTCCCTCCTCCTCCTCCTCCTCCTCCTCCTCCTCCTCCTCCGCTATGATATTCCAACCTACGGCAGGTTCGCGTCGCGCCAGCCGGCGGCGACCCTACCGCGCGCGTTGAAGGTTGAACGCCGCCCGCGGCCCAGAATCGGCCCGTCGTCGACCGATCCGGCGCTTACGGAATTTCCGATCGTGCAAGTTTGAACGATCCCCGTGGTGTCAGGAGCCAACGCCGGGGTCGACACGACGTGAGCTTGCCGTATTTCTAGCATGTGGTCCTTAAGTAAGATGGGGGCAACATAAGTCACGCAGTCCGTCTCGCTCACGGCGCGCATCGCCGCAGGGCCTCAGGACTGCGTGCCGTGGGCAGGAAAGCCTACGGACTCCCGGGGCAGAATGCCAGGCGGGCCAGGGACGCACACCCAGGGGCGCTCGGACCATGCTGTCAGCTTCGTGCCGCCCCATCCCCCACCCTCCTCTCCAGCCCCCTCCTACCCCACCTGCCCCCGCTCCATCTCCATCGTCCGTCCCCTCCTCTCTTCTCCCATTTTGGGGGAAATTAAACAGCACCGATACCGCTACCCGGATCTCTCCTGGTGTACGTTCTGCCCAGACGGACACACGACGAAACACAACATAATGTGATCGTCTCTTCGTCAGGACACGCCTCCGCAATGACGATAATGTTCCGGTGCATTGGTGGCCAAACCAGTGCGGTGCGTGCGGACATGACAGAACAATTGGAAAGCCAGAAGAACGTCAAATACATCACACCGTAGCGGACAAATTACGCAGACGAGCAGCGCGAGGAACACCATGACGAATGTCTGGAGCACTGCTTCGTGAGGAAGGCGCCAAGTGATGGACCGGCAGAGTTTCCAGCCCAGCCGTGCCAGCGATTGCACGGATGCCGAGAATCCAGCCGTGACGACGAGGGAATGGCAGCGGTGTCGGTGCCTTCTCCCCCGACCTCTGGCCGGAAGCGGGAAGGACCCGCGACCCGACGGCGACGCGTGCGCCGGCCTGTCCAGGCTCGTCTGCGAGGGCGGCGGCGTGGAGGCGGCGGCACGCTGCAGGTGGGACCACGCCGGCGGCCGCTGCGTGTCGTGGGGGCTGCCGGCGCTGTGCGACCCAGGACCGCCGAGACCTCCTCTCCTCTCCCATGTCTCCTCCTCATCATCGTCATCATCATCATCATCATCGTCATCATCATCATCATCACCATCATCCTCATCATCATCGTCATCATCGTCAGCATCATCATCATTCCCCTCCTAATTCTCGTCCTCCTCCTCCTCCTCCTCCTCCTCCTCCTCCTCCTCCTCCTCCTCCTCCTCCTCCTCCTTTTCCTCCATCATCATCATTCCCTTTCTCCTCCTCCTCCTCCTCCTCCTCCTCCTCCTCCTCCTCCTCCTCCTCCTCCTCCTCCTCCTGCCTCCTCCTCCTCCTCCTCCTCTCCTCCTCCTCCTCCTCCTCCTCCTCCTCCTCCTCCTCCTCCTCCTCCTCCTTCCTCCTCGTTCCCATCCTCCTCCTCCTCCTCCTCCTCCCCTCCTCCTCCTCCTCCTCCTCCTCCTCCTCCTCCTCCTCCTTCCTCCTCCTCCTCCTCCTCCTCCTCCTCCTCCTCCTCCTCCTCCTCCTCCTCCTCCTCCTCCTCCTCCTCCTCTGATCCAGGCCTCCCATATGAGGCCCGAGCAGATCGGGTCGGAGAATCGCACCGCGTCGCCGATGCAGCGCCGAAGCGAATCGATGTGGAGCCCGGTGTTCCCACGCCGATGGCGCCAACGTATCGCCTTCGCGTCGCCGATGCATGGACGATGCATCGCCGGTGTGGCGCGATCCTCCGACCCCATCTACTCAGACCCCATAGGCATCTATGAGAGCCTCGAATTATCAGGGTTGGGGGCGGTCAGGGGTGACTCCTGATTCGGCCCTCCCGGTTTCGCGCTGGAGTTGCCGCGAATTGCGTTCAACTCGAGTTTTCCCGAATCACGGTCTGCCCGATGTAGGTATTGTCCAGCACTCTCTCGCAGGCCTGGAGGTTGACACCAACACCAATATCGGCGGTGCGCCTCCACCGAGGGAAGAAGCTTACGACCTCGGTGATGGTGGTAATATTCTGACCTCCAAGGTGACCGACATATTACCACCAACACCGAAATCTAGGATCATCTCCCCCCTGTGGAGGCAACCCCCTGTGTTGGTGTTGGTGCCCATTTCCAGGCCTCCAGGCCTACAACTCTTCTTGAAACAGGAGATGTCCCAGATCAAGTGGTTCCTGGGCGGTTCCAGGGGTGTTCGGGATCACCTGCGGAGACGCCATGGGCCGCGACGACAAGAGTTCGGGGCCCGAGCGCGCGGGGGGCCATGTGCCGCGCACGGAGCCGCCTCGCGGGGCTCCGTGCGCGAACGCCGACGACGAACGACGAACGACGACGACGACGAACGACGACGACGACGACGACGACGACGACGACGACGACGACCTCGACCTCGACCTCGACCTCGACCTCGACCTCGACCTCGACCTCGACCTCGACGACGAACGACGACGACGACGACGACACGACGACGACGAACGACGAACGACGAACGACGAACGACGACGACGACGACGACGACGACGACGACGACAACGACAACGACAAGGGACGACGACGACGGCAACGACAAGTGACGACGACGACGACGACGACGACGACGACGACGACGACGACGACGACGACGACGACGACGACGACGACGGCGTGCGGCCTCCCTCGGCCTGCCCAGCGGTGCTGCACGGATGCTGCGAGCAGCCGCCGCCGTTGGGCAGCACAGCTTGGGGACGGCCACGGTGTGCGGGCAGCGGGTCGACGAGTCTCTGCGCGGCAGCTCTGTGTCGGCGTCGCGCGCGACGGCGGTTGCGGTTGCCCAGGCCTCCAGCGCGCCTTCGGGCTCGCTGCAGGCGGTTGCCCAGACCTCCGGCGGGCCTGCGGGCTCGCTGCAGGCGGCGCGACGACGGCCGAGCAGCTGCGCTCGGAGGTGGTCGCCGCCGGCGCGGTGCTGCCGGAAGAGGCCGGCCCTGCCAGGCCCACCGTTTGCCCACCGAGCGACGCGACATCTGCCGCGCACGCGCCCGAGGCTGACGTGACCTCCTCGCCGCGTGGGATCTGCCGCACACGCTCGCGAGGCTGGACACGGCGTCTGCCGCTCGCGGCAGTGGCGTGACCTCCTCGGCGCGCGGGATCGGCTGGTTGGTGCGGTGCCCACGGGCGACCTTCAGGTGCAGGGCGGCGTCGAGGATCACGATCCCTTGACACTCTCGGGGCGAGGCCGCCGTCAGCGGGGCCGTAGCAGGGCTTGCTAAGTGTTACTCCAGGGGTGCCGCGCCAGGGTCGCTGGCGGATAGGGTACAAGGCAGGTTGCATTCTGATTGCGCTTTCCATTTATCCTGGTGAGCGATCACACCGCGCGGCGGCGCGTCCGAGGGGGCCGTCGAGGTTTACCTGAGCTGCGCGGAGGCCATCGCCCAGAAATGGCCAAGCCACAGCCTTGGTCCACCTCACCTGCACGCGGCGATCGCGGTGGATGCCGTGAAGGTCGCGAAGGCTGCGGAGGGGTTCATTGAGCGGCACCCCGAGGTGATTGTGGAGGTGTTCGGCAGCTTCGGATTGTGCTCGCTTACAAGAGCAAGCTACCACTCACATCGAGGGGGCGTGATTCGAGGACTCAGGGCAGTTTGCCGACGAGGGCGGGAGGGTTCGGCTTCGCGGAGGCTCGCGCGGCGCTCAAGCAGGCCTGCAGCAAGAAAGGCGCCGAGCTGCAGGTCTGCGCCACTCCGAAGGGTGCCGTGTCAATGGTCGCGCAGGGCCATCCGCAGTAGCGACACCACGTATGTTTCTGTGCCGTTCGCCCTCCTCGCCCCCCCGTGGCCGCCCTGCCCTTCCTTTTTTTCCCTCCTGCTACATGCCGGCCAATTCGCTTTGTAGTGCCTTTGCATCGCTGCAACGCTGGAGCGGATTGTCCCGCCTCGTCGCCGACGAAAAAGTTTCTATGCCGCTGTAGTGATCGGCCTGCTGCTTGGATCAAGGGCAACGATAGGGGAGATAGGCATATGGGGTGGATGCATCGACCCCCAATCGCCCATTGATCGCCGATAGTGCCCGAGAGCCCCAACCTGCCCAGGAAGGTGCGGATGCACGATCGCAGGCCTATCGCCGCTCTATCGGCGATGTATCGCCGATTCCAGGTCGATCCATCCCCCCTATGCCAGCCCCCCTATCGTTGCCCCTCATTGGAACGTTCTACCGGCGGGAAGGGGAAGAGCAGTCAGGGGGGCGGTGAGCTCGGGGCTGGCAGGGGCCGCCAGGCTACGGGCTCTTTTGACGCGTATGGCACCTCGTCGACGCGAGACGCGCCCCGAAGGTGCATTCATACCTCTTTCCTCTCCTCAGCCCCGATGATATTCGTAACCCCCCCGTTCCTTCGTCGTCTTCAGTTTCCCTCTCCTCTACGTCATCCTCCTCCCTCCCCCCATCCTGGTCACCCTCCTCCCTCCACCCCGTCCTCATCGTCGCGTCCCTCCCCGCAGGGCACGGTGCCCGCAGCAGCGCGGCGCGGCACGGCCTACTGCTCGTGTTGCTTCTCGCGTTAGGTGGCTGGGTGCTGCCGCTGCTGGCGCCGTAGGCAGCGTCGGCAGGGCGACGTGCAAAGAAGTGCGCAGCGGTGGTGCCGATCCTTGCTTCCTTCTTGGGTTGTCTGACGTTGTCTGTGTTTATTGTAGCCTCCGGAGGCTTATGCGTCAAGGTCGGCGGGGCTGGTAGAAGTATGGACCGGGTTTGATAGGCCATGCATTGGTAGCACTGCCATGGATTGGTATAGGTGACATAACTTACAGATAGAAGGACGGTTGCACATGACTATATGTTGTCGTTCGCCTAAGTTGTTTATGTGGCTTGAGCTTCGCGGCCAGGGCTTGGTTGCGCTAATCTACGCTACTATGTGTTTTACTTGTTGCTGCGTTGCGAAACTGCCGATGCTGTAGTGTTCACACACAGCCACCCTATGGGCGGGACCCTGTGACCCCCACCCTGCGGATGCTTTGCCCTAGCATCAAGGAGAACGTTAGCTACTCGATCCACCCTGGGAGGGAGAGGCTATCTTGCCAGTTCACCCCCCAAATACTCCGTGCTGGCGTGATACCTCGGGAGCAGGGGAAAGAGTGCAAACATGATTTTGAACGATTACCCCCAATGCTTTGTAGCACGAGAGTATCGTTGTTCTGGGTTGGGTGGGCGGGATGCTTAGTGCGCATGGTGTGCAGACCTCGCACATTCGAGTTTCTTTCTCGAAGGTAACTGGGTTGCGCGGGACCGTCACACCCCGTCCCTCCGACGAACGTGGTTTGTGCCACGCCGCCGGTAGGACGCCTGCGCAAAAGCGCGCCTCTGTAGAAGCGCAGATAGAGGGAAAAAGAGAGAGAGAGAGAGAGGAGGAGGCGGAGGAGGACGAGGAGCCGAAGAAGAACGATGTTGTGACAGAGTTGCAGACGCCAGAGATTCGAGCCGAATCCGTGGCACAACGTAGCTGGAGATCGGACCCTGTACGACAATCTTCGCTTTCCTCCCAAAGGTCGCAATCTACGCTACTATGTGTTTTACTTGTTGTTACGTTGCGAAACTGCCGATGCTGTAGTGTTCACACACACAGCCACCCTATGGGCGGGGCCCTGTGACCCCCAGCCTGCGGATGCTTTGCCCTAGCATCAAGGGGAACGTTAGCTACTCGCTCCACCCTGGGAGGGAGAGGCTATCTTGCCAGTTCACCCCTAGGAGCTTATAGTACCTCCCAGGTCGGGTGTGCCAACTTCCCTTTGGAGCTATGGTTTGATTGTTTTGTTTGTTTCTGTGTGTCTTGTCATGCTGTTAAACCTTGTATGTGTGAGTCGAGAAAACACACCATGTGTGCACCGTGAAAACTTGTGCGTACGAGTATGCGACCTTATTCTTCGTTTTTGTTCCAGCGCCACATGCGATCAAGCCCAATCGTCTTCGTCATCGTCGGCATTCAGTTCGCCCGAAGGCAGCAGCGAACGGAAACGCTCCGTGGGCCTTTCTGGCAAAGGTCCTTGGTGCGCCGGCAGGTCTGCGCCTGCCGCCGCTGACCCAGCTGAAGTGTCTGCCGCGAGCTGTGTCTGCAACATGGCTACGCTATGCAACAATTTTGTCTTTTGCATCGCGTCTGGAAGCTTACCGTAAATTGTATTCATGACACCAGGCGAGTGGCAGCCTCCTTGTGCTTGTACCGCATCTGGTGGTACATTGGCTACATGCATGTACCACTGAGTTCCACCTTTGCGGAACGAGTGGGTGTTCGTAGCGCTATCTTTGAAGAAAGCACAAATTATTTTTCGCTAAAGGTCTGCTGTAATTGGGGCGCCGGGCGTCCTGGCCGTATTGCAAAAAAAGCTCGTCCTTGCCCCGACCATGACGCTCCTGCATTTTATCCAGTCCAGAATCAATTGGGCTGGATTAAGACCCTCAATTTGGACGCTAGGGACCCAGCAACGTTGCCACAATCCGCAAGGGTCGTTCTTCTGCTTATGTATGGAAAACAAAAACCGCTATCGCTCTCCACTTGCACGTCTGACGCCCGTAGTGCGATGGCCTCGGATACTCTTCGCAAGCCGAAGAAACAGAAAGCGGCGCACGCGCCGTCCCGAATCCCCGCCGACGTCCCTGCAAGGCGACGGTGGCGGACGAAACTTGCCCAATCTTGGATCGCCAGTGGGTTTTTAGCTCTGCTCTCGTGGTTCGCTCTCTTCTTGAGCCCTCGCCAGAAATGCAGCGCCTTGTAATCCCAAGACTGGTCGAACACATTGCCTAAGTTGTGACACGAATGCCATGCCCGGATCGCCGACTTATTGACTTGAATTGTGCGCCAAGCCATGCCATCCATGGCAGCAAATATGAGCATCAACTTGTCTGCACTGTCGACTGGGAGAAGTGCTGCGTCGACGATTTGTTCCAAGCCGTGGACGTGTACACGGAGAGCTCGAGAGTACGTGGCGTGCGTGCTGGGTTCCCAGCCTGAGTCAAGAATCTGCTGAGCCACCATTTGCAGATCTTGCCTCGCTACTGATGCCGCGGCAAAAGTGGCCGGAGGGAGAGGGATAGTGACCCTGGGTAGTTCCAAAGGAGACGCACCGTGTTGCAACGAGACTTCTGGTTGCCGTGGAACTCTGTTGGCTTGATGCCGTGCTTGGTGTGGTCTAGTGAATACCGTGCTTGCCGAACCAGCTGGAAGAGGGGCTTCTACTAAAGCATTGCCCCACAGCGCTCGTTCTGAGGGTGAGTCGCCGAGAGGGGCAGTAACTAAATGCATGCTTCGGAAAGCATAACTGCATGGACCCATTTGCGCCGAAACAGCTGCTTGTGGGAGAGTGGGGCAGAAGTCTCGATTGAAGGGGAAGGCCGCAAGCAGAAACAGGGATGAACAGGGACGCATACCCTGGAGGAGGCAAGAGGCAAGAGGGAAAGAGCGGGCGGAAGCGAGAGGGGAGGGTGAACATGGGAGGACTAAACATGAAGCCCCGCAGGGCTGCATTCCAAGTCTCCGGAGCTTTGTGCATAATTCTCGCTTGGTCCTTTAGCGGGTCAGGCGGAAGGAGTGTGATGATGCTATTTTTGATAGGTTTTGCCCGGCAGCGGAATGACTTAACAGTGTGGTGATGCCCGCATTGGCCATCTTTGTCTTGCCTGTCAAGAGCAAGTCAGCCTTAAACGACTGAGATTCGGAAGGCCGGGCTAAAGATTCCAACAGTCCGCGTGGACAAGTGTTGGCACCTGGTAGCTAAGCGAAATGAAAACGTGTCCAGAAAACTCCGAACCATGTATCGCGGAGCACAAGGAACATATCCCTTTGCTTCTCTCACTCTCTCGCTCTCTCTCTCCCTTTCTCTCTCTCACTCTCTCTCTCTCTCCCTATATCTCCGTCTGCCCATCCCTAGATATTTTTAACGGAAACTGAATTTGCCAACCTCTAGTTCGATGTGCAATCCTCTGGCCAACAGTATTTGACCACCCCACGCTGGGCGCAGCGACAGCACGGGGTGAAAGGGGCGCCACGAGATGCACGGCACTCCGCCCGCGTGTGCTGTACAAGCTGACGGGAATTGTACAAGCAGTGCTTGCAGTGCGTGTTCAGAAATGCGCGCAAAGCTGCTTTTTCATCGGCAGTGCCAGTGTTGAATTTGCGGTCGATGGCCGTTTGGATGGCCGCCGGCTGCTGCCGCCCCATCATGTTGCCGAATTCCGAAGCAAGGGCGGCTATCAATTGCTGCTTCGACGGCCGCGTGCCGTTGTTGCTCTTCGGTCTGGCATTCGACTGCTGCTGGTGGCCGCTTAGCTGCTGCTGTCCAGGTGACTGTTGCGTCCCTGGCATAGCATTGGAACGACCGCTTGCTGAAGAGGCGCCCCCCTCTGGCTCGGACCGGAGGCGCTTCATTGGGGGGGCGTCCTGTTGAACCCCCACGGGGTTCAAAACAAACGGCACCGTGGCGAGCCTGGTGGTCGCCAAACCCAGTCGAGCCGAAAATCGTTGGACAACAATTGAATGCCTTCCTCCTGACGGGCCGATGCTTTTTTAGCACGGCGCTTCATGCTCTTGATTGAGCAAAAAAATTAAAGGCATTAGCTCCTCCCGCTGTGCCGCGACCCTGGTGCTCGAATTAGCTTTCGTGGATGCTGGGTCGACGCACTGGGCCTCCAGCAATAGGAAGAGGGTGAGACATTTGCGAGCGATCGCTGCCACCGTAGTGTCTTTGCGCTCGCCCTGTCCGAAACGAACGCTCGAAAGCGGTCGGGCCCCCCGCCGAAAGCTTTCAAGCAGAGATGCTTCTACGACGTTTTCGGGGCGTTGCGCAAGCTAACTGCCGCGCGCAACTTGGCGGCTTCCGGGTTCGATGGATAAGCGATGACCACTCCCATGGCATTCGCCATGGCTGGATCGGCCATCTGCTCTGCAATATTGGCCAAGTAGTCGCGGTCCACGCCGAAACGCTTCCATCCGGCCAACCATTCTTGTGTGTCACATTCTCTCTCAAACTTACGCCAAGGATACTTACGGTCCAAGGTGGCCTCCATGCTGTCCAAGGTTGCGACGCGGGGCTCGAGCTGCGCGATCTGGGCTTCGATCGTCGCAATCGTGATGTCGACGCTCGAGGAATGCTTCTCGTAAGTTTCCTTGTCTGGAAGAAAGAAAGACGGTACCTGCCCCGTTGGCTCAGCGATGTCAGCCTGAAGGTTGGTGCGGAAGAATTTTTGCATAGTGGCTTGGAGGTCGCCGCCGGGGCCGACGGCGCGCTTGAACCATTCGACCGCCGCACTCTCACCGAAAGCCTCCGGAACGATCGGTTGCGCCATATTGCTGGTATGTAAGACAAACGAGAAACTTGTCAAGCACGGCTGCACTCAAGGCTGCACGTCAAATAATTGATTCGAAGCGTTTCGAACCTAGCTGGCTGCAGTGTGACACCACGCACCCGGCTTTTGTTTCTCAGCGTGCCCCCAAACAATGAAACGTAACACACATAGATATACCACCTAGTAGCACAACAGAACCTACAAAGACGCAAGCATTGTGCTGGAACAGATTTGACCCTTGTCCAAGAGAGAATGTCTGTCTTGGGGAGGTGGCCCGACTAGGGAAGATCTATCGGCGTCACCCCAACATACTT